GAGAGAGGGGGGGGGGATGCTGTAACAAATTATTGTGGCTGAAGCTTACAACAGACTTGAGCTTGGGTGTGAGAGTCGGAGTGCACCAGAGAAGTGGTGACGGATTTAGCTCCACCCTCCATTCCACCTGCACCGGTATTAGTATGTTACAGTTCCCATAAATGTGGTAAAATGTACAAACGCACGCATACGCGTTGATCAATACATATATAACATATGTTACATATTAACATAGACATTAGCTATCATGAAAATGCATTCGCTATTATTTAATCGATCAATAAGAAGGATTTAATTCATTTTTTTAAGATAAAACTTTAAGATAAGTAATTATCAGGCCAACTTCAACACGATTAATTGTTTTTTGCACAAACTATACATAATGGCACAAAACTATTCATAATTAAAGCATAATTAAAACAATTATATAATTCGGTCATGTATTTTTGCAGCAGTTTTTTAAACGTAAAGTTGTAACATTTTTCATTATTATTCTTCCTATAAAAATTGAAATCTTCTCCGCTCTAATTTTCCAATGATTGTCTCTGATAAGAGAATTGAAACTCTTGAGAATAAATTAAAATTCAATACTGCAATGTTTTGATGCAGTATTGAAAAAGAAGAACTGCAATACTGAATAAAAAATACAGATACAGCATGTACAGATTGTGCATATTCTTGTACATTCGTTAAAGAATCCTACATGCTGACAGAATATGACGGTATATCATACCGCCGTAAGGCTTACCAATACTAGAAAATGACTCGGAATGTGCTAGATTGAGTGTCGTTGGATTTTCCATTAGCTGATTCTTTGCAACCTGATTATCTATTACATTAGATGGAGTTTCTATTTCAATGACCAAGCTACTGTCGCAGGTAGGGCACTTGATTTGTTTTGCACCTAAAAAATAAACATTTTCACAATTCTCTCCAAAAGTACACTCATTTTACTTATACAAAACAAACCGGTCATCGATTTAACAGTGAACGCCATATATAATTCCGGATCCTGCGAGAATTGTGTCGAGCATTTCATGCACTTGAAGATCTTGAGTAGTATCGGCCGCATCTCTATTTGTTCGTTAATCGTTGTCACAATTTTCTAAAAAAATATTAAGCTGTAAATTGCAAAATTATATTTAAGTGTTTCTCATCTTACTTTTGCATCGTCTGGTTGCGCAAAGTATCGTCTGTTTTCCCTATCTTTCCTAGTAGTGTCAAAAATAATGTCAACTGTGGGTGGATCGCTTCTGCCTAAGACACAAGATAATAGAGAATTTGTCGACCAACAAAACTTTACTTTTCCAGTAATTGCATCTCTTTCCTTGATATCTCTGCAAATATTGCGATATATGTATGTAGAAAGTTTTATCTTGGTAACATATATTATAAATGTATCATAAATAAACGATAAAATTATATTTTGAAAAAGCTGTAATCTACCTATATACTTTTTTTCTTATTAAATAATTAGAAACATTTGAATTTTATCAATTGCAATTGTGCTGTGTAATTGTTTGCAGCAAAATAGTAACTTACTCGGAAGTTATTACCAGGAAAACATTCTCCATCTCACCCTCGCCCTCCTTCCTTTTCTGAACAATATACAAATCTCCAGCTTCTATGAGGGAAAAATACAGACTTATTGCTCGCGCGCGATATTGTTAATATTTTATATTATTTAACATATATATTTTCTGCAAGTTTTACCTTCATTAGGATCATATACGATCGTAGGAGTAGCGCATGTCGGCTTCGGAAGATTATCCAAAGTCTCATTTTGAGGAATCTCATTATCGTCTTCCGCGATGTATTCTGCGATTTCTTGCGACTCAGACTCGTCAGAAGATTTTCCGTTATCCATTGCATAAATCAGGGTATCGTGAAGAGATGATGCTGTATTAATATTAGCCAAAGTTTGTATTTTAGATATTTGTGATTCTGGAAATTGTGAAGCGGGATTAAGGCCCATAATGTCCTGGACAAAAGTTCCCGCGTGACTACTCAGCCAATTATTCTCGCCAAATTTTTCGCGTAGATCTAAAATGCGCTTCTTTGTCTCCAAGTAATCCTTCGAGGACTCTAAAAAAAAAAATGAGTCAAGTACATACATATAAACTAATTGGCAACTTGGCAAAAAATATATATATATATATAATTCTATTGCTGTACCACCAGTTATTCTACTACTGTCATCCTATTTATTAAAACATTATCCTTTACTATTACATAAATTTGATTCATTAAAATCATAACACTTTTCTTACCTAAATGAGAAGATGCAACCACATCGGGCAATTTCTTAAATTCTCCTCTTTCCTGATCGATTTCGTCAATAATCGCCTCTTTGACGTTTGGTTTCTTTTTACTTCTTGTTACACTTTTTTCTAGATTCTCAGGTAATGATATTGTTTGACTTGAATTTAATCTGTCTTGGTCAAATTCATGTGTATCAACATATATAGATATCGAACTGGACAGAGATGTGGATTGATTTGTAGACTGATTGTAGATTGCAAAGATCCGATTTTCTGCAACTAGCATTTTTTCCGAATTTGAAAACGGCAAATGATCTAAAACAAACTGCAAGAATTTACTTAGATCTGTCACATCTGTCTTTGCATAATCTGCAGATTTATCAGATATATATTAGCGCTCTTTTGCACTTTCTCGACAATTTTTAATGTAATATATTGTAATATTACCTTGTTGTCCGATAAACTTGGATGTAAATATTTTAGGGTTAGAATACGATGTTTTGGATGATACGATAAAGGATTTCCTTCCAAAGATAACCACAAGAGAGTCGACATCTTTTGCAGTGGCCAGAGAGCCAAATGCTCCGTTAAACAGTTAAACGACAAGTCTAATTCTGTCAGACATTCCAAGCCTTGAAGACCTGTGTTGTACAACATTAATGTAACAACAAGATTGATGACAAGAACAGATCTAATAATTTGTCAAATTATCAAGTTATGTAATATTAAACGCGCACTTATTATAATTTGATTAAATTTGAAAGTTATATTTAAACATAGCAAATAGCTTTAAACAGCTATTTGGAAGTCTTGGAAAATGTCTGAAAGAAAGTTATTGCAATAATACTAACCCTTTAAATTGTCAATATAATTGTTCTTCAACACTAACACTTGTAACGAATGTAACACTGCCTTATTGAATATAGGTATTTCTTCTAATTTGTTGTAGCCTAGATTTACATATTTCAAGTTTGATAAACAGGATATTTCCTTAGCATCGGTTATCACATTATGACTTAAATCCAATATCTGAAGCCAAGGTGCCAATTCTAATGATTCATCCAGGCATTTGAGAGCGTTGTGGGGCAATACCAAATTTCTCAAGGATGCCCATACAAAGCCGACTCCAGCATCACCTCCACATGCAGCTAGGTATACAAAAAAAATATAAGAAATATAAGATAATATTCTAATATAAATAATGTAATAATTATATTATAGGTAAAAAGCTGTAATTTTTGTATGTCATATTATACTAGTGACTGTAAGTCACTAGCAACTCAATGGACTGTTACTTTGTATATACAATATATATATATATATATATATATATATATATAAATTTATACATTATTAGATTACCTAGTAACTGATAAATTGTCGATATTCCTTTTCTACCAGAGCAGACAATGCTTTCTAACTGACCTCTGACACTCTGTAGGCCCTTTAATAATTCAACAGATACCCCTTTCAGCTCCAAATATTTTAAATGTCTAAACTTGGAGATGTCAATGGTAACTTTGACGTCGGAAGAACAATGTATCACTTTCAGACCTATAGTTTTCTGCACAAAATCATGTAGGAACTTTACGTCACGGAATATGTCTATCTTGGAGCTGTTACACACATGAAACGAAGAATCCAAATCTTCGGATTCTGATACAATCAGTGAGAATGCCTCGTTGAGACTATGCAGCAGCTTTGTCGACAGAGAAAGTTTGCTAGAGGCGCTCAAGATCTTGTCACCATTTTGCCGAAGAAGTCTCACCAGCTCCATTATTTCCGGTGTATTAATTATGTCCTGTGAGTGGCTCATTATTGACATTTGTTTACTCGCTATTTAATATTATTGCGAATGAGAGCGAGTAAACTCTATACGCAGTTATCTAACGGATGCCCGATTTACACTTTTCACACAGGCAAGTTTCACGTTTCATGTTTAACTAAAATAATAGTAATAACGTGTCGTTAGAGTGTTACAAAACATTTATTGGGTTTAATATCTTCTAATTTATATTCTTTAATTAGATGAAAAAAAAAGATAAAAATTTAAGATTATTAACTTGTTTATTTTAGATTTGAACGAAAATATAAAGGTTCAGTCTCTCCTTTTGCGAAAAAAAGCTTGAAGAGATCAAATCACTGTGAAAGAATCAAACGTTAAAAATATGACAGATTTTCTAACCTTAAAAAACATTACTTCCAAAGTAATAATCCCACTGCAGAATTGAAGGCCCCACCATATACACCATTTTTATTTTTTGTGAATAAAAAACACTTTTAAAATAACTTTGATCACTTTGTTCACAGTGTTAATTTTAATTTTCCAAACTTCACTTCTCTCATACACAAAGAGATATCCAATAAGTTACCTATATAAAATTTGACGTGAATGGGTTAAATATTGACTAAAGTTTCTAATAAAATATAATTGTCGATGTAACACAGACCAATAACTGCAATTGAAACATTTATATCATTTAATGCGTAATTATCAAACAGTATAATATTAAAGGTCAACGCAGGACAGGAGTAACCATAGACTTGATATGATATAAAGAGTCTCTGACAAGTGCTTGAATAAGAAGTGTGACTGTCCCGGCGTTTTCCGCAATACCGCTACCGTGGCAAACTCCACCCGTATGTATGAATAAATACATAATATATAGTATAATGTACAATACATTGTACCTACCGTGAATCGTATAGCACACAGCCATTTTCTGATACTGCCGATAAAATCATATACAGAGAGAGAATGGATGTGGTTCGAGTCAAGGCTACATCAGACATTTTATCAACATTGTCGATTTATAATATTCGCGTTATCAACTCGAGGCTTTAGCAAAAGAAAAATTACGTAAATATCTATATAATTATATATATACATATTCTCCACATACAATATCATATACATTATACATATACATATGTATATATGTATATATATATATAATATATATATATATACATATTTACGTAATTTTTCTTTTGCTAAAGCCTCGAGTTGATAACGCGAATATATAATTATTTTGTGGATGTAGCACGGACACGCACCACATTTTATCGACAATGTTGATAAAATGATATGCCTAGATGATTTTATCGGCTGCAGTATTAGAAAACAGCTGTGCTACGTAGTTCCCTTTGAAAGGTGCAGAATGTAATCGGCAGTAGTGTACGTATGTATGCATGTATGTATGTACATACATACGACATATATATGAGACACGTGTCCATATGATAAATTTCGTGAGATGTGCGTGTCATTACATATACGCCGCTGTGAAACTGCAGATTTTGTTGACCGAATCTCTTTTGGAAGCCGAAAAAACTTGTGATAACAATGAATAAAACATATTTGTTATGATAATTATATCATTGCTGCGGCCACACATATAATTATCGCAATAACAATAATAGATAGAAATAAATCATGTCTTTAAATCATGCTTTTTTACAAGACGAACTTGTCCGCAGAACCTTGTGCTCTGTTTTGCATCAAGAATAAAGAGGATGCTAATGTATAGATTCGCGGATTATAAGAATATGATGTTTGTGGTATCTCAAGGGAGGTTGTGTGGCAATCACACATGAATTAACACGACGATAACAATCTCCAAGAATTACGAATCTTGCTCCAAACAGCTCCAAAGCGTAAACTGATGCGTCGCGTAACTGCATACATTACTCACATTACTGTATGGAGTTCAACTTATGCCGAAAGAAATTCATCCGTGTTTGTCAATATCGTATGATCAATGTTACATAAAAATTCTTCACGATGCAAAGGTGGATGACGCTTGTTATTTTGATGACGCTTGCATTCGTCGCGGGACAGCAAGTGGTAGATGTATGTATTAATATATAACTATGCTTTGTTACAAATTTAAGTTTTTTTTAGAGAGGAATTTCTTCTTCATGGTATATGATATGATGAATGACGGAAATAAAAAAAGACTAAGGACAAATAATGTAATATTTTTTTTTAGAATTAAATTTTTATTTTATACCCAAAAATATGTTTACGTTTTTCATGAATTATGAGAGAGTCGTGTTGTACTGGATGCACTTTTATTCTTGCGATTAAAATTGAAAATTGATTCAAATAATTGATTTATATTAGAATTTTAACACTGAACTGGTAGCGGAACAAGATGACGCTCTCCTTTTATTTTCTACACTTGGAGGATTGCTTGTGGGTGTTGATCAGTGGTCTGGGAAAATACAATGGCAGCAAGACGATGGTAACAATTGGTTTGCTCTATAGATACATTTGGAAATTGAGATTTATTATTTTGTGTACTATTATATTTATATCAACTATGTTTCAGAACCTGTGGTTAAAGTGCCTATCAATCTGTCGGGAACCAAAATGTAAGTATGTTATTTATACATTGTATTAAATTATTGTCGTATACATTAATACATAAACAATACTGATAATAAATCATGGTGTAAAAGTAGTATATCTAATTTATATTATTTGCAATGTTTTATAACATTTGTTAAATAACAGAGTTAAGCGGCGGACGGGGGGGGGGGTGTGCGCGCGCGCGTGATTGAAATATTTTATAGGTATTTTTATTAAAATGTTTTTAATTTCCAGGCCTATATTTCTACCAGATCCCAGAGATGGTTCATTGTATCTCTTTGGTAGAGAATCAGAGGCATTGAAAAAGCTGCCATTTACTATTCCTCAGCTAGTCGCCAGTAGTCCATGTAGAAGCAGCGACGGTATATTGTACACCGGTAGAAAAATTGACACCTGGTTTAGTATTGATCCAACGACTGGTGAAAGAGAACAGCTTCTAAGTTTTCATAAAGTGAAAGATACCTGTCCTTTGGAAATGCAGAATATCATTTTTGTTGGTCGCACGGAATATAATATCATCATGGTTGACAGCAAGCAAAAAGACAGAAAATGGAATGTAACATTCTACGATTATTCCGCTATGCAAATGGAACCTGATGTGATAGACAATTACGGTACGTTTTTTCATAAGACAACGCAACAACCTAACACATTTTGAAGACTACTAGTCAATGTTATCTATAAAATATATATTATACTATTTTATATATACATTTACATTTGTGTAATATAATATGTGAAATGTGTATCATACATATGTTTGTAGTACATTTTCGCGTGTATGTACATTACACACGTGAGCGAGCGTGCGTATTCTGAGAAAACTTGACATTTCAGATTTGGTACATTTTACCACAAGTTCAACAGGTCGTGTAGTGACCTTGGATAGAAGATCAGGCAGGATTCTTTGGAAATTGGACCTGAAAAGTCCAGTGATAGCCATGTATACTGTAACCAAAGATGGATTGCTGACAGTTCCTTTTACAAGTATTGCTGATTCGTTGTTGGAAAAATTTCCGACAAAGCCGACTGACGTACAATTGTTGTAAGTTGGATGGAAAATGTTTAAGAAAATCAATACTTTTTACTTTTTACATGGGATATAGTGTTTGGCAGAGAGAGAAAATTGTGTTTTCAAGATTTCAAGTTTAATAATGCAAGTAACTTTTCTTCTTTAGTCCAACTTTGTACGTTGGACAGCATCGATATGGTCTGTACGCGTTACCGTCGCTTGTTGATTTGGATACGACAACTATATCGAGTAATATAGGACACTTATTGCTGGAAGGGCCATTGGTGACGTCGCATCTTCATGCAGATAATAAAGTACCATTGCCAGGGGATTATGTTTTTATTTCTAATATTGACATAGCCGATGATGGTTATCAAAGCGTTAAGCGCACCGAAAACGTCATAATGTTAGGTAATATACTCAAGTTATAATTATATCGTTTCTTTATACATATTGTTATACATTTTGTTTTATATCTTTTCTAATTTTTGTGTTTCGCATTTACACACTTGTAGGTCATTATAAGGTCCCCGCAGAATACAAACCGCAAAATCAGCTCCTTCAAATAACTGGACGATCCGATCCGATAATCTTGGAGACTTCGACGTTGAATGTCACTGGGGCCAAATTATCTATCGCCATGCAGTCTGATATGTCCAACGATAGCGTACAGTCGGAAAACAATCAGAATTGGCAGAGAATTATCTCAAAAACATATAGTGCGAGCAAAATATGGCTCAATCAACAACAGGAAAACATAGATACGAAATTGATCATCATCTCAATTATGTTGACAATTAGCTTGACGATTGTAACTTGGTATATATATAAGCAACGTAAGGAGCAATTCCAGCAATTGTCGCAGGTAAAACTACTACCTATTTTACGTTATAGGGTTATTGGCATTACATGAGGTGCAATATGTATTATTAAATTTGAATCCAGTTAAATTGATGAAATTAAAAATGATTGTTAAGGGTTCACGCGAAAGCAGTCGCTTGAATTATTCTGGCAAATCAGGCAACTCTGTTGTTATACCGGAAGAGATTGGGGATGGCTTGGTTAAGGTGGGAAAAATTACATTCGACACGAGACAAGTCCTTGGCAAAGGATGCGAAGGAACATTTGTGTTCAAGTAATATTTCTAATGTACAGTATTTACAGAAATTGTTGCATATGTATACATATATCAGGTGGATATATATGTGGACATATATGCATAGCTATTGATAGTTTTTAAATTTTAATTTTGTCGATCCGAAAAAATGTCTATTCTTGCTTTTTTCTCCTTTCTCGCAGAGGTGAATTTGATGATCGTGCTGTAGCTGTGAAGCGATTGTTACCAGACTGTTTTACGTTTGCGGATCGGGAGGTAGCGCTTTTAAGAGAATCAGACGCTCATGCAAATGTAGTTAGATACTTTTGTACCGAACAAGATCGTATGTTCAGATACATTGCCTTGGAGTTAGCGGAAGCCACTTTGCAGGATTACGTGGCGGGTAAATACGACAGGGAAAAGATATCGGTGAAAAATATATTGCATCAGGCCACATCTGGATTAGCACATCTTCATTTTTTGGATATTGGTGAGTCGAAATTTCGTTTGAAAAGACATTAACAATTTTTTTTCAAGTGATTAATTTCACAATGCATATTTTTTTCAATTGAATCAGCTTTAAATTGACGAATTTATAATATTTACCAAGAATAATACGATAACGTAAAAATGTTAAAAAAAATTCATGTATTTAATTATTTCTTGTTTTCTCTTATCTTTTCTGGGGAAAGAGAGCTAGAGTTATAATTTATTGAAATTTGTGATAAAAATTCGCTGTTAAAATCTTTGTGTATATAGTTCATAGGGACATTAAACCTCATAATGTCTTACTCTCTGCTCCTGGATCTCGTGGAGAGGTACGCGCCATGATATCAGATTTTGGATTGTGTAAAAAACTCCAACTCGGCCGCGTATCATTTTCACGGAGATCCGGTGTTACTGGAACTGATGGCTGGATTGCGCCAGAGATGCTGAATGGAGAAAGGACGACGTGCGCAGTCGACATTTTCTCGCTTGGTTGCGTTTTCTACTATGTTCTTTCCGGTGGCAAGCATCCTTTTGGTGATCCATTACGAAGACAAGCCAATATTCTCTGTGAGTAAGAGAAGTTGTCAAGTAAAATAGTTGCAATTGTACTTAATTGGTTCATTCATTTGGTTATTTCTTATGTAGTAATCCGTTCGCGATCCTATATCTTATAAATCAAACCGAGAAATAATAACAAGCATAGATGATAAATCTACAGATTATTATTACAACTGAATATGTATTTAGCCATTTATCCAATTATTATCGTTATGAAACTACTACTAGTGATCAACATCAATGATCAAATATTTATATTGTGATAATCATTTGTTACAAATGTATTGTTCTTTCTGCTTCTCTGTTACAGGTGGCGAGAGCAATCTGACAGCGCTCCAGGAACTGCCTTCGAATGACAGAGAATTAGCATTATTACTTATCAAGGCAATGATATGTAGCAATCCTGCCAGGAGACCACCAGCTTCGGCAATTTGTAATTATCCAATCTTCTGGAATTTAGCAGAGATTCTGGGTTTCTTTCAGGTATAAAATAAAATTTAATATTTTTATAATGCATTTCTTATTTGCACTTTCAAGAGGAAGAGAAAAGGAAACATATAGTTGAAAATACTAGCTTTTTCAAGTTATGTCTTGTAAAATATAAGATTTTCCCCCGATAACCTGCACTTTAGCGATTGTGACACATAAGAAGCGAGAAATTAGCGTGTAAATTTTTCGTTCGTTTTATCACTATTGTTGTATTTTATTTTATGTGACAGGATATCAGTGATCGGGTGGAAAAGGATCAGTCCGACAGCCCGGCCTTAATAGCATTGGAAACTTGCGGCGAACGTGTAACGAAGAATGATTGGAGATTGTATATAGATGTCGAAGTTGCAACAGATTTGCGCAAGTATAGGAGTTATCGAGGCGAGAGCGTAAGAGATCTACTCAGGGCTTTACGGAACAAGGTTAGTGAGAATGCAAGTATAGACATAGATAAGCAAGGTACAAACGTTCTGTTTTCTTTTCAATCACGTATTCAATTACATTAATGTTAAAAATAGAAAATGATAAATTATTTTCCGCTTTTCCTCTCTCTTTTCTTTCAATATTTTAATTTTAAATTTGCCGAACCTCTGATATATCACATACACATAATGACACAATCAGGGTATTATTAATTATTTATATTAACGAGAAAAAATGTAGAATGAATAAAAGAAACATTTTTCACAAGATTGTTGATAGAACACTTTCCTATAAGTTTCGACTAACGATAAAATAATATTTGCGAAATTTGTAATTGTAATAGTGTCTTGGATGTTACAGTAAAATAGTAAAAAAAAATTCTTTTGTTAAATAAGCACTTTGTCAAAGGAATAGTAGGTAGGCTTTTTTTGCGTCTGTACTTCTCGAAGAAAATTCTTTTTTTTTTTTTTTTTAGGCCTGTCTAACATTGCTCATGGGTTAAACGCTTTCCCATCTCACAAGTCAATTATCTTGTAGAGCGAGAGACAGAAAAGACAAAAAAGAATAATGCTGGAGCTAAAACTTATTGAACAGAGCTCTAGCGTTTTTTATTTTTGTTTTCTCTCGCTGAATAAGACGATAGTACCCTAAGAGGTGAAAGCGTTTAGCTCGTGAACAAAATGTTCACGCTACTCTAAAACATTTCTAGAAACTTTTTCATTTTAGTTTGATAGAATTTATTGCAATATTTAAAATTAAATTGTTGTAAATATTTAATAAATGTAGGTATCAAGATCAAAATAGACCAAATTATAAAAATAAAGAAGAAGTAAATATAGTTTCAATAGTCGAATATAATAGTTTTAGCGCGACACATCTCTCATTGTCAGTTATTCTCTTGCATATCGACTTATCATTAATATTGGATATATTGATGTGTTTTTAGAAACACCACTACAGAGAACTGAGCCCAGAAGCACAGGAGAGTCTTGGCGAAATTCCTAACAAATTCACAGAATATTGGTTATCAAGATTTCCATACTTATTGTGTCACGTTTGGTGCGCGATGCAGAATTTTCGAGACGAATCGAGCCTGAAACAATACTACCATCCACACTATACTTTTACGAGTGATGAGGGGCAACAATCAATCGTACAAATGGATCGAGTTAACAACTTAGCTCTAGCCAAGTCGGCCAGGACAAGACAAACGGATAATGTTGATTGGAGTCCCAATCGAACAAGATACCGTGGTCAGAGAAGGAGACAGGAAAAGAGGAAGCATGAAGAGCCATCACCATGGTTGCTGCATCCAGCGAATTGAATTATCTCGGGACTACTACAAATTAAACAGAAATGAAAATTTGCGGGTATATTAACGTATGAAAATTTAATTTCCGGTTAGTTGGAATGAATAGGAATAATTCCATGGTTTCCAACTAACACAATAAAAATTACAATTATGTTTTTGATCGAAAAAAAGAGAACTGAAATCGTTCAAATTACAAGCTGCTCTTTTTCCAATACAGTAGTGTACTTAATTTAAGACAGTTTATATTACTGTATATATTTTATACTGGTTTAAATTTGCTTCAGAAACGTGAAGTTAATGTAATTTTTTTTGTGTGAGAGTGTCGATATCTTTATTTTATATGATATTTGATGTAAAATGTATAAAGACAGCAGGGGAACCTCCGTTTTATTTGCAATAGCAGTGTGACGAGCGAGTAATTTGCGGCAAGTACACAAAAGATCCTTTATTCAAATTATCGATTTGATATAATACGGGTGTATCAGTATCTTTATTATCAAATTTCTCATGTTGAAGAACAAGACAAACTTAAAACAGCACACACTTGTATAGATAGATTACATATTTATATGTGACAACATTGAAGGGAAATATGTATAATCAAATACTCTTTTTATAACATAATGCGCTGGATAGAAACGATATAACCGAAATAAAAAGAAAAAAAAATGCGCGTTTCTTTCTAAAAACAAGGGGAGCGACTGTTTCTTCTTTTCTTCTCCGCATCAATCGCATAATCGGACAAGAAGAGAATCTAACTCACTATTATCCTCTCTAATTATCATCTTTGCGCTTCGAATGAGAGCGCATAATCTATTTATATAAGCACAGTTTAATGAACTTTATAGGATATTGCTATAAAAATTTTAGAAATGAGACCAATACAATCTCGCTTGTTTACAAATACTTTGGAAGCAAACATTTGTGTTCCAGTAGATCCAGTTTTTGTTAGAACTAGAATTTCTTTCAATTAGTTCCTGATGTGACATTGATTTTTATTTTCCAATCGGTGATTTCTCTTCGGTAATTTGTTGATTCTTACGACGAGTTCTAGTCGTCGATTCAAACGTGTTTAACGTAAAATATACATTATAACACTTAATTATCGATCACAGTATATGAAATACTTGAAAAAAATTAGACGAAATGCCGTTCCCCGAATTAGAAAAATACCTGGCTTGAAATATTATACCTACACATGCGCGAGCCCACACATATGTACATTCAACATTATATGTGTACATTATGAATGTATAGCGCGCGCGCGCGCGCGCGCACACACACACACACACACACACACTCAACCACTATATATGTATATACAGAATAATAATTTTTGAACTTTCGAACGCAATTATCTCCCAAATTATTCGTTATTCCAAAAAAATGTTACAAGTGGAATGTATTTTATTTTGAAGGGGACAATTTTATTTGTTTTCAATTTTAGAGAAAAATATTTCCGACAAGGCGACTTTCACGTGACTTTCGAAAAATACACGTGAAAAATCGATTTTTTTCGAAAATTGCTTTTATCATTATTTGTCCTCCTTTACATCTTATATACAATGTTTATCTAATAAAACAATTTTTTCTAAAATTGAAAACAAAGAAAATTTTGGATGGCGATTGTTAAAAATGGAACACATTGTGTGTGTTTTACAAACGTTATGAAAATATAAACGAATTATAAAATTAAATAGATAAATGAGAATACTATTAAGATTGATTAATAATATAGTAAAATTACCTTTTTATCAAGCGGCAGCAGTCGCCAAAAAGAATGGCTGTGTGCAGAAATTTGTACATAGATGTATAAAAATATACACAATAGATACATTCCTCTTCACACAAAATTTACATGTATGAACGCTTTCATATTGCGATATGTACATACATACACGTGTATATTACGTGCTTTTTTGCATTTTGAATGTAACCTGTGTGCAGATATATTATATACATAGCGAGATGTTTTTATGTAAATAAGGTATTTATAATGTGCATAATATTTTATAGTAAAATGTCAATTTTTTCTATTCTAAAGTCGTTAAAATTAAACTTTATTCTAAGGTTTTCTTTCAATCTCAGCTCTGTAACGATATTGGAGAAACGATATTATTTAATGTGATTATAATTTCAAAATTAATGGTGCCGACACTTACTATCGTACGATTATTTTATTGATTTATTCATTCACTGGTTTGAGTCTTAATACTGTTCATAACCCCAGATTTAAGACTATTTTTAATATAAAATCGGCTTGGACACTGACGGGATACTATTATAGACCGACAATCTTTATATTAGCGTGGCTGGTTAGCAATTACTAAAATTTAAATAATTAGTCAATAATATATAATATTAATTTTATGATTTATTATTAGACCAAAAGTTTTTTTCGACATGTACATATATTTATAACTTGCTAATAATAAATTATATTTAAAACAGTAAGTTTATAATTGATCCGTGTTTGATTATCCATAAAGATGATAACAGTAGAAAAAAATGATAATCTTGCGGTAATATGTATATATATATATATAAATATGATATTATTGCATTATACGTATTCGAAATTATTTATAAAGATCATTTGAATAATAAAAAATTCAGGCTTGTGTCGTAGATTTCAAGATTATGTCTAAGGTTATAGGATAAAGCAGGGAATCAAATGGCCGATCGCATTTTTTTTTTAATAGAGGATGACTTTCTCTTTCACCCCCATATAGGTCTTATAGAGTCTGACTTCATAGTTTGGCCGTTCTAATTCATTTTGTGTTTTCAAAGAGGAAAAAGTTGCTCTCCTAGCTAAACCGTTAGAGATAGAGGCTCGGTGCACAGGACCTTTTGTGTTTGTCTCGTCGAGTACTATAAGGACGGGTAGGTCCCAAAAGTGAAAAATTTTTTTTTTTATTTTGAATTTTAATTTTTCAGATTTTTGAACAGGTCGCAATTTTTCCTTATAGAACTCGTCGAGAGGAACAAAAAAGGTCCTCTTCGCCATGCCCGTATCTCCAACCGTTTAGCTGATCTAATTCGTTTTTTGTTTCCTGAATCCAAAAATGACGGTTACTAGCGAAACGAAGACAGATAGGGGCATGATGAAGAGGACCTTTCTTGTTCCTCTCGTCGAGCTGCATAAGAAGGGTAGGTCCGGTAATTTTAGTAATTTTTTTTAATTTATTTTTATAGTCAAGATTTGGTTGGGGTTAGTAGAGATTTGAAATTGAATTGGGAGTTTTTATCGACAGAGGACGACCCCCATCTATCACCTCCCACAAGTCAAAGTGCCGTAGCTATCTCAGTTCGCCCTGGGGACTTTTTTGAAAATTTTGAAAATTGAAAAATTTCGTATTTTGAAAAATCCAAAAGGTGGTTTCTTATAGATCTCGACGAGCCCTACAAAAAAGGTCCTATGCGCCAACCTTGTATCTGTTGCCGTTTAAAAGTTACAGGATTTTATATGTTCCAAAAAAAGGTTTTTTTGGGATTTTTTTAGGTTTGGTATTTTTCCCAAATAGAACTCGTCGAGAGGAGCAAAAAAGGTCCTCTTCACCATGGCTCTATCTGCAACCGTTTAGTTGTGGGAGTTTTTGAAAGTTTCTGAAAAGTCTAAAACGACCTCTACAGGCGAAAGGACGAGAGATAGAGGCATGGCGAAGAGGACCTTTCTTGTTCCTCTCGTCGAGCTGCATAAAAGGGGTAGGTCCGGGAATTTTTAGAATTTTTTTTTTATTTTTATTTTTTATAGTCAAGATTTGGTTGGGGTTAGCAGAGATTTGAAATTGAATTGGGAGTTTTTATCGACAGAGGACGACCCCCTCTATCACCTCCCACAAGTCAAAGTGCCGTAGCTATCTCAGTTCGCCCTGGGGACTTTTTTGAAAATTTTGAAAATTGAAAAATTTCGTATTTTGA